CACCCTCTTGAATCCATCACATTCAACCAACTGCATTTGTTTTGAACTCAGCCTAACCATGTGAAAAAAAGCCTAACCTGAGCTCCAGGTAGAGGAGAAAGAATACAATCCTCATCGAACAAACAGACCTGAAGCCAGCCAGCAGCTTTCCTCTGCCCTAGAGAAGCTAATCCACAAAACAATCAACATTTCTCCACTCCAGCTTCCACAAAATCCACATCTTCACCTGACCTCTTCCCACCCAAGATGCAAAGTCCTTCCTCAAATAGAAGTGTGATTTAGCAGCATGCCCAACAGCCTAGGGCCATTTCAGAATAAGAGGAGACTTAATTCAGTCCTTTGCTCTGGTACAGATTCCATCTGTAACCGTGATCAGGTCACGTATGGCCAGATTCACAAAAGTGTGGGGGTCTCCAAATCCATAAGTGAGGCAACTAAATACCTTCATGAATTTAGGCCTATGTGTCTCTGTGCTTCTGTTTCCAGAAGCATAGAGAGACAATAGTATGCACCTACCTCCCGGGGTGCACTGAAGAGTGCAATGTGCTCAGCTGTTACAGTAATAAGAAAAAAAAAAAAATTCTGAGAGCTACATACATGTCTACACACAGAAGTGACCAAGCGTGGATGACTGTTGCGAGGTCCATGTGAACATCTTATAGCGTGTGGGAATTTAACAAGAATTTGAATTTTGCTATAAAACCAGGGTCTGACTTCACATGGGAGGGGCAAATATGCCCCTTCTGTACGAATGTAACATAAGAGATGCCAGGGTCTCTGGCACCAGCGTCCTGTCTCTCATAGTGGTACAGAATGGAGGAACAGTATTAATGCAGGACATATGGACTGATTCATCCCTTGCCCTCCTCTCCTCTGCTGCTTCCAGCATTCAGAGGCCCAGGGAGTCCTAATTTTGAGGTTGTTGTAACCCTCTCAATCTCCTCTAGATGATGAAGTTGATGTGCTGTTCCCATGGAAGCTTCCCTTGGAGCATAATCCTCACGGTGAGGGTAGTAAAAGGTGGACATGTAGTAACTGAGAGTAACTTTTGCTAATCCGATACTCCAGGGGTACATAAGGTGAATATGATTTATACGCCAACAAGGCCAGGTAGATACCTCCAAATATCTATCGGGCAGCACTTGTTCAGCTAGGAGGTTGAAGTCTATTTGGTTTTGTTCCTACCCCGCTGGTGTTCGCTTTCTATGCATATTCTAGTGAACAAGCCCCATGGCAGCAATGCTCCTGCAAATAGCTCCTTTTAAATGAATATTGGGCAGAACGTGAACTTTGCATCATCAATATGAGTACACTGGGACTTGCTGCAGTCTAGAGGTTCACTCCCTCCTGCTCATCGATTGGGAAGACTCAGTACTGTGAACTTGTTAGTGATGTTGGCAGTAGCTCAGGATAAAGCCCAGTGTGGGTCTCACCTTGCTAACCTCAACTTCCTCCTAAATTTCCCCACCTACTCCAAGGGGTAAATAGTCCACCTGTTTACACCAACAATAAATTACTACATCCCATCACCCCCATACCAGCCAGCAAATTCATGGGATGAGCTCTCTCTCCACACATCTTGTCTCTGTCCACCTGTTCCTGTGAGTCGGTAAGTGGGCACGTAGCTCTATTTTACTCTCATATGCCAAGATCATGACTATGGGTAGCCCCTTAAAGGTGCATAAAGGGAAGGATGGCTCTTACCCCAAAGGCTGGTGCATATTCTAAGGCTTCATCTACATTACAGATCTGTCTGGATTACAACCAGCTACAAAGAAGGAAAATCCATAATGGGGACAGGGCCAAAGTCACAGTTGAGCCCTGTTTGCTCAGTGGACTCAATCACAAGAGAAACTGAGACCCTCCAAAGTGTGCTGTACTCCCACTGATTCATCCCTGCCTCCTACTTGCAGCAAACATCCCGCATTCACAGTTAGGAGCTGGGAGCCACATTCACTAGCTCTGAAAGGACATGATCCTGTGAGGAGGGAAGTACCTCTACTTCAGTGGGAGCCAAGAGTGCATTTCTCAGGTCTACAGAGCTGCTTGTGATCAATCTGCAGGCCAACCACAATGGGTGGGGAGTGTTTGATAAATGATTTTGAAATGGCAAAGAACAGCTAGAAAATCCTAGACAGCTCTGAGTCAACTCAGAACTGACTAGCTCTCGCTAATTAGCGATAGCTAATTAAAAAGTTTTTCTGTGATTTTTTTTTGTCAAAAACTATGCACTTTCATGAACATTTTCAAGATTTTGGATCGGTCCCTGGAAAGTCACAAAGAAAAATGAAAAAAATTGCTGATTAAATATCCCATCTGCCGAATGGGTATAGAATATCTACCTTGCAATGGGACCGTGAGCATCTTGGATTAAGTTGCAAGATCCCTAGAGCAGATCACACAGAAATGTCAGGGGAAGTGGCAGGGAGCAGTAACCCATTGGGCTGGGAGTCAAGAGACTGAAGTTTTGACTTCTGTCTCTGCCAGTGATTTCCATTTATGGCCTCAGGCATGTCACGTCTCCTCTTTGTTTGAAATGCAGACAATGATACTTAATTGGATGGCTGGACAGCGTTGTATTAGTGTAAATTATTGCATGATGGCATTACTCCGTGACACTGTTATACTCTACCTTCTACCAAAGAAGTCAAGAGGGTGACATTTGCTGCTTTCCTTCTTCCAGCAGGCAAATTCAATCCCAGTCTGTCTAATTTTTCTCGCAAACAGCGTCCCCCATTCTTCGATTTTGCTCTGCCATGAGAAAAGTAAAAGAAATTTTAAAAATCACCCTGAGTTGTATTCTCTTTACTCTCTTCTTTTTTTTGTAAGTGAAATGCCAGTCTACAAATGACAGTCACTGCTTTTGCAAATGGAGAATTTGCTCCTGCTGATCTCACTGGAAACTCTCTCAGTGTCCGATCCTCATACTCTTCCTCACACAGGGAAGGTACTTATGGCCCGATCCCCAAAGGGATTTAGGCATCACAATTCAGAGAAGCAGATAACTTTTCAGCATCCTGCTGCCTTGTAGACCCCTGAGTTAGGCAGAGAGCAGAACTGAGAACTCTGTTTCCAGAGGACAATTCAGTTCCTGTAACGAAAGCACTTACACACCCAGGGGGTGTTGAATTGTTGGTACAGAAGTGTAAGAACAAATACTTCTCTTAGTCTGGTAGTTTGGAGTGAGTCACAATCTGTTCATTGGTCACCCACTAGGTGAAAAAAGAATTAGTCTCCCTGTATAATGCATGAAGGGATTTAGGCACCTGAGAATAGGATTCACAAGACCCTGTAGGAAGCCATCAATGGAGGACAATAGGAAATGTTGAAGACACTTATGTGACTGAAGCCCCATCCTGGACTGTGGGGAAGTGTTTCTCTGATTGTGATTCACAACCCAGAACACTTTCCTGGATTTGGGCACCTGTCCTACCCCTTTCTCACACAATGAGTGTTGTTGACTGACTGCTGCTTCCTCCACCCCCCTGCTTTTATCCAGTATTTTGGTGGTTAAAGGATTCACCCAGAGCTCTGGCGGTCCCGGTTCAATTTCCTTTTCTGCCTGAAGGGATCTGAAGCTGCATCTTCCAAGAGAATGCTCTTACCCCCAGGCTATAGGGCATCCCAGGGTGGGGCTGTCTCAATCCCTCCTGTCAAAGATGTATCACTTTGCATGGAATAATTAAATATTCATTGGGCCAGAGAGAAGGAGAGTGAGTGAGCATCACTCTTTCCAGTTAGAGCACTTGCCTGGGACAGGAGACCTAGGTTCCAGTTTCTGCTCCAACTAATACTTCATTTAAAATACTAATGCATTCATTGAATCAACGAATGGAACTCACTTTTCCCTCCTCCCAGTTGAGCACTCTAAATGTTAGGCAACACAGTCATCCTCACACTCTCTCACTCCCTTAGGCCCGCTGGACATTGAATTAGGTTGTGTAAAGTGGAACAACGTCAACAGGAGGGAAGGAAGGACCCTGCTCTCCAAAACTTGAATATCTTGGCAGCTAAGTAGGAGATGTGAGCTCCTATTCCCTCAGACCAGGGAATCCATATCTCATGATCAAGCGCTCAGACCACTGTGCTATTGGCATTTCACGCTCATGCTTTCGTCAGCACTGTGTCAGTGACCTTGCTCCAAAAGTACTCACTGGATTGGGGTCTACAGAGGGGGTAGAGTTTGTGGAGCTTGGGGTTGGGGGAAGGAGGTGGGGACAGCTTAGTGTCCTGGACACTCAGTGT